AAATATTTCATCACATTCGAATAAAGTTAAACAACCTACCAAAGCCAGTCAGTGCGGTTTTCAGCTCGTTTTTGTCTATTGACCCAGAGTTATCCCTGTCATAGGAACGGAAGCAGTTCTGCCAGTCTGTCACGTACTTCCACAGGGACATGAACTCCTGAAAGTTGATTGTGCCAGAGTTGTCTCTGTCAAACATGCCTGCAAACAAAGTTCATATTTGTAATGACATTGGAACGCAAGCGGAAAGAAAAGAAAAACGGAAAATGATCAGACAGAGAAAGATGCTAATAAATAAATATTATTAATTTTCCATAATTTTAACCCTGTTACACTCACCTGCAGAACGAAAGGTCATGGGTTCGAGTCCTTGTGGAGCTGGTATTTTTAAATAAATGACCTTGACTCGCAGGTCGACCCAGGTGCAATTCTGGGAAGTAAAAGCAGCCGGCGTGATGCTGACCACATCACCCACCAAGTGCCGACTGGTCTATAAAATACAGGTCTAGCCCTATATGCCTAATAGGCATGGAAAAGGGTCCTTTACTTTTAATTTAACCGTTAGAAGAAAAACAAAGACTCACCAATCATCAGACGCACAGTCTCGGGGTTGAAAGGCGTCCACGTGCCTGAGGAAACAATATTTTGAATAAAAGAAAACAATGGAAACCATCTGAAATGTCACAAACTAAGCAATAAGAAACACAAAATAAAATCTGCATTTAGTATCATTTGACAAAAAAATACGGCAGAAAAGCATGTGGACTACCATATCATTCCCATATTTATGTCTACACCTCTCTCACTTTTTTATATCTGTACATAAAAAATTAACTTTTTCCTAAATCTATAACAATTCAGAGAATGTTAAAATATGTTTAAGAAACAGCAAATATTCACTTGACAGCAATCACAAAAAATTATTTATATTTAAGCAACACAATCACTGTTTGCGGAGAGGCATGATCGCCCACGCCAGTTGGCAAGGCACTTGATGATGATGATTTAAGCAACATTTTAACCAAATGTGTTGCACCACAGTAGAAAGTTCACTTGCTTATCTTTTTCTTCACATTCACAGGCTGTAAACTCAGGTGAAAAGTTCTGGTTGTTCATCCACTTGTGGACTTCAGTCTTGTTCCAGAGCTTGAATTGTGCATGCCCATTCATGTTACAGATCTGGCTTATATGTACCAAGACTTAGTTTCTTGCCTTTCAGACAGATGCAGTCCAATTTCGAAGAGAACCCCCTTTAAACCCCTATTTAGTCTACTTATATGACACGCTTGTTGCGGAGGCACTGGGACTATTCTTGTCCCCCCCCCCCCCACAATGGGGCTCTTGAACCCACACCGAGAGTGGGTGGGTTGGGGGCCTTAAACCCACATGGGGAGATGCTGGTGTTATTTGTAGGAGTGGCAGATAATAGGTCAAAGCTGTGTAATAAACATGTTTGCTAGTGATAACCTTTGTGCTTTTACATGAAGTTTACACAAACAGTGATTCTCAGCCATACAAAAACTAATGACCCTTTGACTCTTTGCTAACAATACAATGTTTACAATGTAAAAAGTGTCTTGTCCGCCGCCCCTCACCACCTCTGGGAACCCCTTCTGACATATACCACTTCTACAGATAAGAACACAGTAAGTAAATATAATCACTGAATAAATCTCAGGAACCCCTTTTGATAAGTGACTAGTGTTTCACCCTATGGCTTCAGACTAAGTTAATCCTGTGTGTATGTAACCTGCATCATAAGTCTTGCTTGTTGTCCTTTACTTGAGTCAGGTCAAATTCAACTCTTTCCTCCCTATCCATCCAATACAAAATCAGTTATCAGATGAGGCTGCAGCCATTATTCTTGATATTATTTGTAATCTGTTCTTATCTAAATGATTGATTGATTTGATTCAAGAACCGACATCACAGCACTCGGGGCATTCCCATAAGTGCTCCGTCCCCATCTTCAGCAGCCAGTAACAAATAACAAACATCATACTTCCATAAGCTATCAGGTGACACAGAGGGTTTTAAAGTTATGAGCATCAGTGTCTACTCCAGTCCTGACGCCTGACGAACATGTACCTAAGGTTTCTTTCTGCCAAAGGTTGATTTCATTGTTCTTATCTAGAAAAGGGGCACTTAGACATCACTATCAAATAATATGACTTGTTTAACAAATTCCTGAAATCTTTAGACTTTTGGAGTCAATGACACGGACTCTTCACATAACAAATGTTTTTGCCAAGAAGCGGAAGCAAAATCTACACTGAGGATTGTTGACTATAAAAAGAAAACAGGTATTCAGAAACCATCAAAGAAAAATGTGGATTAAGAAATACTCAGAAACAATTAAATCTTCTCCATCTTCTGCGACTAACCTTAACAGGGCAGTTAGGATGTAGGGGTTTACAGCAAGGTTGCAATTTCTTTTGACCCTAAACATACAATTTTAGAATATCTTTAATTCGTCTCGCTTTACAACATGCTTGTTAACTCTTTTAGTCCCAAACGTGCGTGGTTAGGTATTCTGTGAGTCCCACCAAAAACGTAACATGTTTTTTTTTTTTTTTTCATTTGACCAGAGCAAGCTAAGAAAATCTGGCTCTCATAGTACTTAGCTTTTTTTTGAAAGGAATATGCTCCTGGTTTGTCCTATTGGTTATTTACACAAATGGGATTTTCTCGCAAATTTGTTTGGTACCCAAAGAGTTAAGGGGCACTGAGCCTCATTTCTCCCCTCAAGATGGGATCTGGAAGCAACACTGAGATCTGCAGAAACAACACTGAGATGTGCAGAAACAACTGGGATCTGTAGGACCGAACAAGACAATTCACGTGCACATAGGATGGGAAATTATCTCTCAGAGCATCCCCTGGAGAAACTGGAGGAATGAAATCAACCTTTGACAGAAATCTTAGGTACATGTTCGTCAGGCGTCAGGACTGGAGCAGACACTGATGCTCTTAACTTTAAAACCCTCTGTGTCACCTGATAGCTTATGGAAGTATGATGTTTGTTATTTGTTACCCAGAAATTAATCTTTGAATTCTTCCTTTGCATATCTTGTCTGGTATTTTCCTCACATGGTAACTTCTCTATACCATATCTCCTGCTGACAAGCCCCATAAATTTCATAACATTTCTGTTTGGTTTTGATGAATGCTGAATTAAGAATCAACATGATAGCACTCGGGACACTCCCTAAACGCTCCATCCCACATCTTCAGCAGCAAGAGAAAAGTTCCATTCCCGATGGTACCAGTAACTGTCTGACTGTATATCCGTCTCGCCTTTCCATTGAGTGTTGATGAATAATCTTGTAACACTGGCAGCTGCTAATACTTCAGTTCTTTTCTTTTGTCCATGATGGTCTTCACATTATTCTCAAAAACCACACCTCCAGTTGCTTCAACATTTAATATTGCTCAACATTCATATCTATAGAGAACATAACATATGTAACTATATGGTCAGTAGGAAAGAGGGTCACAATGTTAGAAGTTCCAGCACGCCCAGTTCCTAATCGACAAGGTTTTATTCCAATTTTCTAATGTTGGTATTCGTAACCCTGTCTCTTCTTGTGCTGATAGTGACCTTGCAGAAACAGCGCTTTCCACATGTAGTCATTTTCTGTTCTAGTGCCCTATTCATTGTCCATGTAAAGCTCTCTAATCATATTATATACAAGTTTATTTTCAGTCTTAGCCAAGATAGCATTAACTTGCATATTTGATAACTATTTATATTTAGCAGGATTCAGCGTACCCAAAAAAAAATGTCTTTAGCCTTCCAGGGAAGCAGAGGCCACAAAGCAACATACATCAAGATCTTTATTAGACTTGATACTGTTGTCATTTGCCTGTATTTGCAGACAACAGTGTTATATTGTGCTACAGCAAGACACAGGAATCACAAACCATAGCAATGGTAACTAGCAAAACCCACTCAGGTTAAGAAAGGTCTTCCATGGATAAAATATAGGATTCAGGACCACTATTGCTTTCGGACATATTTAACGTGCATCTTTTCAGACACTCAGCTCTTGACCTGGCTGTAAGTAATCTTTTCTCCTTCCGAATCCCAGCCCCAACACAGCTCATGACATCCTATTCCCAAACTTGCTCATGGACTGGATGGATTTAAAAACTCTTTACTCCCCGAAGGGCCCTGGTAACAAACTGGTGGATATAATTATTTCAATAAGAATTTAATTCTCTCACATAATCTTTCCAGCTTACCATTAGAAAGAGCCACTTGTAGCTCACTGGCAGATATCGCACCACTTCTGTCCCTGTCAATCCTAGAATAGATACATTGATACCTACAGACTGCAGCTTCGGCAAATTTAAGATAAACCACCCCCATGTTTTTAAAAAAAACGTCTCTAATTGTTTCACTTCACAAGCTTGTATTCGTTTCAGCAAAAGCACAAAGGTATTTAGAGAAATGTAATCAGATTTGTTTGAATAATGAAACCTTTTTTGGGGGGAACGGAGGATAAAGTGGTGCATACACTGTGCTTCTAAAAACATAAAACACTTTCAATAAGCAGTAGTTTGAAGTACAAACAGCTGTGATCTTACTGTGAACAGCTTCAAATCTGTCAACTCTCTGCGCTAGCACACTATTTAAAAAACCATCAGTGTTAAATAAACAGCATACTACGTGCATGAGTATACACGTACGTATGTAAGAAAGCTGTGAGCAATCAATTTAGAGACAATTTTTTTCATTGACATGTTTCTAAAACAAGGACTCAACTCACAGGTGACTGAACAAAAGAGTCTACAATATCTGTAATAGTTGCAATGAAAGAAAAATGTAACCTCTAATATACTGAAAATTACTGAGCCACATTAAAATGACTCCCACACTAACGAAAGGTATATGGATTTATATACTTGACTTACGCTACTTGTTTAAACATTAACATGCTACAATTTGAAGAAAACAAAAACAACTGTGAATGTCAAGTCCTTGCTATTACTTTCCACCAATAAAATGCACATACAGAACACTAGCTATGCTCATAGGGATGGAATTAACTAATATATATTTAATAGAAAAGAAGTAAACCACTTATTTTTCTCTCTCATCTGATGAAGGCAGTAGTGTCAAAATGAAGATGAAAAGTATCACTGATTAGAGAAGGTAATTGTATACAATAATTTCTTGGTTGGTTATAGAGAAGAAACAAATGTGAAAACTTAATAACAACTGGTAAAATTGATGGGAAAAGAGTATGGCGAAATTAAGATCTATAGCTAAATGGCTTGAGTAAACCAATCAAATTAATAATAAGAAAAGAATTAATCATACAGAAAAAGTAAAACTGTTGCATGGGGAATAAAAACAGTATCACCTATACAGAGAATCAAGTTGACCAAAGTCTACGAGAACTGCAGTTAATTATAATGAGCATAGCTAGTGTCAGGTATCATGTTTTGAGAGGGGTTGTATGTGTTGTTGTCTTACCATTCCCTAAAGCTTGCTGGAGCTCTGTTGAAGTTATCTGGCCACTTCTGTCCTTGTCCACGCTAAAATGTTGACAGATTCAGATTTCAGTTAACCTCTAATGAAAATAAGAATAATGGACACAAGGTGTGGCCACAAAGGGGTGGTCTTACACATGGGTGGACACAAGTTGTGCTCTCACACAAGAATGGGCACAAGTTGTGCCCTCATACAGGAGTGGACACAAAGTGTGCCCTCACACAGGAATGGACACAAGTTGTGCTCTCATACAGGAGTGGACACAAGGTGTGCCCTCACACAGGAGTGGACACAAGGTTATTCTCATATCTGAAAACCGATATGTCCTTTGCCACTTGGATTACATTCTGTGAAGTACATTAAAAACTTCCCCAAATTATTAATGTCCCACTTTCAATGTTTGCCAAGCTGGTCTGCCCACTTCTTGACTTTGGTCTTGTTCCAGAATGTGAGTTTTGCATGCACATCCATTTTACAGATCTGGTTTATTTGTATGCAGACTGCTGGTTTCTCACTTCTCAGACACATGCACTCAAGATTGTAAAGGAAATAATATCCTGATGCAGTGACCTAGTTGTAAGCAAAGGTTAAAAAAAAAGTAAAATACGCTTTTTATACTAGTGGAGCATCGAGTAAAAAATACTAGACTCGTATTTTCACAGAACAGCTGGAACTTGGTGATTACCACCTTTACTTCCCAGGACAAAACATGGTACTCATTTTAGGCTGGGTTGGCCTGGAAGCTGAGTCTAATTATAGAAAATTATTTGTCTCGATGCAGATTCGAAATCAAGACCTTCGGGCTGGCAGTCAAGTGCCTAGCAGTATCATGACTCCCTGACCTAGTGAATAACACATTATTAATTTTATTATGACAGTTTTCAATGAAATTACATGTTATAGTGATTATAAGATTTAAGCTTATGAGTTTGTTTGGGCCTGTAACTGCCAAAAGTCAATTCTCTCAAATAAAATTGAAGGACATAGTTTAAGGAATTCTATATTTGAACATTTTACCTCTGAAATATCCCAGAAAGCCAATTTGGATCAACACCTTGAGGCGCCTGAGGCTGTCCATAGCCTCCTTGTTGGCCATACCCATATCCACCGTAAGACATCTTTGACGACCTTGTTTATCGTAATATTGTAACTGTATAGTTAAAGGGCATAGTAAGTATGTACTATATTTTATATACTAACATAATATTGACAGCATATCTGGTAAACCTTAAACTATTTATATATATATATATATATATATATATATATATATATATATATATATATATATATATATATATATATATATATATATATATATATATATATATATACACACACACACACACACACAAATATGCTGATGGTCTGTACAAAATATGGGCGCTCTTCCCATATGCCCGATATGCCTAAATGCATGAAAAGGGATCTTTACTTACACACACATATATAATGTAGATAATGATAACACAAAAAAAACAGGTAGCATAATTTATTGCTTAAAAATAACTTTGGCTCAAAAGTCTTTTTGTTCTTTATTCTGTCCTACTGCTTATGCCAGAAAGCATCACAGAGAAGTAGTTTCCAGTCTTTTGCCAGTTGTGTAGCTTGTGTTTGTGTCATAGTGCATTTTTGTAGTGTCTCTTCTAACCCTTCCACCCATCTCTTTCTTGGTCAGCCTCCTGCCCTGTAACCTATTGTTCTCATGTAAGGCACTAGCTGCTGGCTGACTGTGTTCCACTGACCAGACAATTTGATGTTCTATAAATTATTTTTCAAGGTCAACCAAGCCTAAAATGGCAACCAGGTAAATCCTAGGAGGTAAAAGTGGACAGTATGATGCTGACCACATCACCCACCAAGCACAGGTTGGCTTATAACAAAATATGTGTCTAACATCATATGCCTGATGCGCCAGTGGTGCAAAAAGGTTTTTTTTACTTGACTTATCATTTACTGCTTGGCGTATATTGATAAATCTCATCTAGTGCAAACTTAAACTACTGAAATGAAGCAAGATTAACTCTTTCAGTCCCAAGGGACGCTACATTCATAAGTTCCTACATAGAAGCCCAATGAGTGCAAGATGTGCCGATTATATATCTTTTTATGAACCCTTTGGTCTCTGATGCTAAACCTCCTGGGACTGAAAGAGTTGAGTAAAATAGCTGATTCTTATAGTCTTCTTCTTTCGTACGGTTGAAATAGATTATCTATATCTGAAATGTTGTCTCTAATACTAACTTTCATTGTCTGTTGCAATTCAATCAGTGACCCATAAAGTTTGGCTTGCACTGGTGTTTCTCTTGGCCAAAAGTTAAGCCTTGGGCTTGATATGTTGTATTTAGGACAGTCTCGGAGGACATGATTCTCATATTAATTCTCCCACTAAAATAATAATAACACATAATTAGCATACAGACTTGGATATGAATGGAGTCCTGTGGAGTTATGTCTCATCACTTCTTTTATATATGTATATGTTAGGGCTGTACTGAATAGTGATTTTCACTATTCGGCCGAATACGAATAGCTGGACCAACTATTCGGCCGAATACGAATAGTGAATCATCATCATCATGTGCTTTGCCGGCTGGCATGGGCGATTATGCCTCGCCACAATCTGCGATCTCCTGCAGCACGTATTAGTTCGTGTGCTGACACCTCCATGAAAAACCTTCGTTCCATGTTGTCAGCATTAGGCCAGCTTTTTGTCTCACTGAAGGTATTTCCAGCTGTACTAAACAGGAAAATACGACAAATACAGAGAGTCAAAATGAAAACTCGCAAGGCGAAACATCAAAAACAAAAATAACGCCGACGAAGAAAACAATGCCATCCTTACAAGTCGCCCAGCCCCCCGCGAGCTTACGAAACCAGACGCCGGGCGGCCAACACCAGAAGATCAAACAACAAAGACAATCAAGAAACCGAACGTCGATCAAAACATTCAGCCGCTGCCGTTTCCACGAGACGACGAAAGAACAGATACGACACCCATAAATGATGACGAACTCCCGTTACTTCAAAGAATTAACGAAGAGGACACGAGGAGATAACGCTTCACAGTATAAACCAAGGTGGGAAGTCTTGATGTTTTTTTTCCACCAGTCCAGAAACGGTTGTGAGGTAACCACTATTCGTATTCATCCCGACCCCAACTATTCGGCCGAATACCGAATAGTTATTGGGTCCACTATTCGGCCCCGAAGCGAATACGAAGCGAATATTCGGTACAGCCCTAGTATATATATATATATATATATATATATATATATATATATATATATATATACGGTGAGACAGAAACACTGAAACAGAGAGCGGGAGAAAAAGAGAGCATCAAACTACATAAATATTAGGATTTGCGAGACCTAAATAGCAAACTAAAACAGTAACACAGCCTAGCGTTTTTAGCCGAAGAACAATCCGAACACCTCTTTATATGTAGACAAAACAAGCAGAAATGCTTTTAATTTTGTTGAGTAAGTCTAAGAGTCGGCAATCTATCTAAATCCAAGTCGTAAAAAAAAATATTAATATAAAATAAAAATAAAACATTTGAGATTTCTTTTTAGAATATTATTATTATTTCTAACAATATTTGGTTACTGGTATACTTTACTGCAAAAGCAACAGATACGCGAACTGCGGAAACAAGTTTAAATCAGTAATGAACAAACATGAAATAAAACTCCTTGGAATGCTTACGTGGATTTAAGGTTTGGCGAATGATTCAGAAACTTGGGTTCCCTGTTGGGAAATGTTTGCAGACAGCAGAAAGTGCTTACTTCCGTGTTTGCTAAAACGTCACAGCTTTTAAATATAAAACAAAATAACATTTTTTTTAAATTTTAAATAATGCAAATCCTTACAGAAATTAGCCATTTAATTTGTATTAACTAGTATACGTGGATATTTTAATTAGGTTAAAATGTAACATGCTATATTTATTTTAATGTATGTTTGTTCCTGATACCGGTTTTGTAATTTTAAGTGGCATTCTAGTTACCAATGTAAACAACATGACCGCATAAGTAGACGTCCAAGTTCAATTAGTTTATAGAGTGTATATTTCAACTGAGACGACGTAAGTCGCCAAATTTGGACTGAGCGTACTAAAAGTTGTTTCCTAGTACACGATAACAATATTTAAAAGAAATGTCACATTTAAGGATTTGGCAAAGTCAAAGCAAATGGTTTAATCGTCGCACCAGCTGTAAACTCTGGTACTGGTACTGGTAGCTGGTTGTCCGTCCATTTCTCAGAAGTTTAGTCTTTACCCTTGAGTTTTGTGTGCAC